CACTTCAAGGGAGAGGGCCCGCTAAATCTGTAGATCCACGTCGACCACAACACCCCCCTCACCGACGCCCTTGAGATGAGATCAGCCACCGCATGCAAGCGGGCCTTAGGGGCCCCACGCGTTTCAGGTGTTCAATCTAGAGGTGGTCGCTCGCAAGGTGGAGGCAGAAGCGGTGGTTTGAGGCACTGTGAACCAGATCAACGTCAGGATCAACGACGCCAATCAAGAAATCAAGGTGACTCAGGACCTGCTCGTAGCCGTCCAGTTTGCGCTTTCGCACAGCCCCGACATCATCCACGTTGGACCTTCAATCAATCACCATGCGGTAGCCCAAGACAAGTTGTTTCCCCAGTACGTGTGGGAATGTTTGCTGTTTGCTTCTGTTCGAGCTATTTCTGAGATAATTCTGATAGAATCGGTTTGTTTGGATGTGGTACTGGTGAGAATGTGTGCTATTATTTTTGTCGAAAACTTGGGTAGAACCGTATTATCAGATTGGGGAGGGGTAGGCTAGATGTGAAAAGTTTTTAGTAATGATTTTGGGGGCCAGGAAAATTTTGGTATAAGTTTGAGTAAATGATTGGTTTGATTGGTTCAATCACTCTATTTGGGATGTTGTATTGGTCTAGATTTCTAGGATTATTATTATTTATGATATGTTTGATTTGTATTTTGGTAGAATCATGTGGGTTTGCAGGTTTGGCGGGAATGTCTTGGATTATTCGATGAAAATTCAGCACAGTTTGTGTAGTCATATGATTGGATGGGTAAGTTGTGTAGATTAAAATTTTGAATGATTTCTTTATTGGAATTCCTCGGATATAAGTGCGGGTATAGTGATTCGTTTGATTTGTAATTGTAATGATGGGTAGTAAGTCAGATTGGAACTAATTCAGGGTTTGGCTTAGAACGATGAATCGGTTAGGATCCGGCTGGGACTGGTTTGGGTTAGTAACTTACATTCTAATGGTATTGCTATGCTGCAAATGTTACTAACCTTGGGATTTGTGAGAATAAGATGCTCCATTAGTGGAGATAACCATATATATATAGATAGCCTTATGGGCCATATAGGCCTATAGTAGATGGGCCTTCATACAATTAACACCCCCTTCAAACTTAAGGTGGAACTAGAGGATCTGAAGCATTGAGTTTTGAGTAAATGAAGCCGATGCTGCTCTCTAGTTTGTGCCTTAGTGAAAAAATCTGTCAACTACAACTCTGAGGGCACATACTGGAGAGTTAATGGTTTACTGATGACAATGAGAACGAGTGACGAAGGCATCAACCCCAGTATGCTTTGTAAGTTCATGCTTCACAAGATCATTAGCAATCTGTATGACTCCTGTATTATCACAGAGAAGTGTGGGGGCATCATAAGAAATACCAAAATCAGCCAACAATCATCGAAGTCATACAATCTCTGAAGTAGTAGTTGCAAGTGCTCGAAGATCTACCTCTGTACTAGAACGAGATACAACTACTTGCTTCTTGGACTTCCATACAATAGGAGAAGAGCCAATAAAGATGCAATAGCCTGTGATGGAACAACGATCCGTTGGGTCATAAATCATGACTCGCACGTGGTGATTTTATACTACCACTTAACGTCAGATTGGATAAGTAAGACAATGGCTATACAAAAAAAGCTGAACATCATTAGTTTAAATTTAATAGAATAGTAATAAAGGGAAAAATCTATATGAATGGCAACGAAGGAAAGGCATAATTTAGAATGGCAATGGAGACATTGTTATAGTTTCTGTTGGCGGCTATGCTAGCGCCCGGATGGACCCACGCATGCTGCTGTGCCTGATGCACCTCGCGCCTCCTCTTGCTTTTTTTGGAACACATGCCTCCTCCTCCTCCTGCTGTGCCCCACGCCTCCTCCTACCGGGCCAGCTGCACGTGAGAGAGAGAGGGAACATAGCGCGCGTACGCTAATATGAGAGAGAGAGAGAGCACAATGCGTGTGCCCTAATGCGAGAGAGACCCCAGCTGCATGCGAGAAAGAGAGGGATCACAACGCGCGTACCCAATTGAGAGAGAACACAACGTGTGTGCCCCAATGTGAGAGAGAGGGAGGAGCATAGCGCGCATGCACGTGTGTTGAGCCGGCTACATGCTCCACCGTGGGGGACCACACTTGGTGGTGCAGGAGCACCTGGTGCAGTGCGTGCTTGCCCGTGAGTCAGAGCGCGTGGGGAGCAGCACCTGTTGCAACATACTAAAACAAAGGTGAAACAATTGAAACATACGTTTGCAACATATGTATAACCACTGCAACATATGCAACATGCGGGATAAAAACACTTGCAACATACGTCTGAAATGGGTGAAACTTTTGGAACATACACTTGCAACATACGTGTATAGCCACTGCAACATATGCAACATCCAGATGAAAAAACAACATCTAGATGAAACAGTTGAAACATTTGGAAAACACACTTGCAACATACATGTTTAGCCATTGCAACATATGCAACATCCCGATCTACTTTTGCAACATCCACATAAAATGCTTGCAACATCCAGATAAAACATCCGAAACACTTAAAACATACTCTTGCAACATGAGTTTTCAGCACGCAATGTCACCTTGCTGCTTAGACGAATTGCGGAGCTCGACGCCGCCGTGGCGCATGGTGCTCACCGGTGCGCCCTAGGGTGAGCACCTACTCGATGGCCTATAGGTGAACACCTACGTGAGGCGTGCGAGCACCTGCTCGGCGGCCTAGGCCAGCGCACCCCTAGGCGCGGCGGAGGGCGGGCATGGCGTGGCGGGGGATGAAGGCGCAGCGGGGATTGGCAGCGACGCGCGGCGAAGTGGCCTGGCAGGTCGGAGGCAGTCGCGCGTCGCGCCTGGCCGGGCCCGTGGCCGGGCGCTGGAGGTGACATGTGAGCAAATAGGAGCAAGTGAGTAGATAGGACCGAGTATATGGACGAGCAGATTTTTTATTTAGACACCAAAGAGGGGTATCTTGGGCTAGCGTCGCTTTCGAGCATTAGTGTCCTGTTGGCAACGAAGGAACCAAGAAAATTTTCTGGATTTTCTTCCCGTAGTCCAGTACACTTATCTCTCTGAGGGCCCCCGTCTTAAGGCCATGAGATTCTACAATCCAGATTCCAAAATCCAAAATTTTAAAATCTGGATTCTACATAATAAAAAAACCTATATGTTTGGATCCTTAGATTATGGTGAAGATGGTTTCTAGTATTCAAAACCTTTTTCTCCCAAAAATGCCCCTCATCCATAGCCCCTGTAGACAGGGTTGGCTGCTCGCCGAAGGTGGAATCCGGAGCTTCAAGGCGCGGCGGCTTTCGCCAGCTGCACCGCCCACCGCCATCGCTAGAAAGAGCTCGCTGCTTGCTTGCCGCCTCGCGCCTGCGCCGCCAGAGGTGCTCTATCACATGGCGGCCCCAACGCCACCGTGTGACTGCTCGTCGTCTGTCGCCCGAATCCAAAGAATGGAGGTGCTCGCCTACACCGCCCGTGAAGCCCGCGTCGCTGTCCGGCTCCGGCAGTGAAGGATGAAGGGTCCATCGGCCGACGGCGCTGGCCAGCGATGCGGAGGGTAGGGGTGCGACCAGGCTCCGCACACACGATTCGGGAAGGCCACGGCTGGGAGAGGAGCACGACTTCGGCGGGAGCGTGTGTGGAGCGCGTCATGGCGGCGAGTCGCCCGGGCGAGCGACGCGATGAAGGGGAGGGGATTCACGATTTTGGCCAGCGTTTGGTGATGCGCGAGACGGGGGGCAACACTGTCATTTCAAACATGAAGAGGTGAAGAATCCAGTGTTATCCGGGTGCGAGTGATTCACGGATTGTAAAAATCTGGACTCCAGATTTCTTTTAGAGACTTTACCTTGTGTGTCATTATAAAAGATCGCAATCATCTGTGTATCTTTGGAAAAATTCAGCGGTCTTTAGCGTCACTACTCCAATTTTTTCGTATCCTCCATGCCACTTTCGTCAGTTTAGGCTCTAACACCGTCAAATTGCAGGTGTGAAAAGACGAAAATACCCTTAAATCTAAATATGCTATTAATTTTTTTGAGCATCTTAACGACTTCAAATGAAAAAACTCAAAACTAGAAAGTTGTAGATCTCGTCGAGATCTATAATTTTCATATAAAATTTATTTTCATTTAATTCAACAACTTCCATGTCATTTCCGTCAGTTTAGACTTTAACGCCGTTAAACTGCAGGTGTGAAAAGACGAAAATACCCTTAAATCTAAATATGCTATTAATTTTTTTATCATCTTAACGACTTCAAATAAAAAAACTCAAAACTAGAAAGTTGTAGATCTCGTCAAGATCTATAATTTTTATATAAAATTTATTTTCATTAAATTCTTTTGTGGAATTAAATAAAAATAAATTTTATATGAAAATTATAGATCTCGAAGAGATCTACAATTTTCTAGTTTTGATTTTTTTTCATTTGAAGTCGTTAAGATGCTTAAAAAAATTAATAGCATATTTAGAGTTAAGGGTATTTTCGTCTTTTCACACCTACAATTTGACGGCTTTAAGCTCAAACTGACTGACGGAAGTGGCATGGAGGACACAAAAAAGTTAGAGTAGTGATGCTGAAGACAGTTGAATTTTTTCCAGAGACATATGAGGGATTGCGATCTTTTATAATGGCACGGGAAAAAGTCTCTTTCTTTTATCCCAAGCAGTGTCCCTTCCGTTTGGATGCCTTCGAGATTTTTTTTTTATCCGATTTCGAGAATTCTAACCGGATCCAGACGGGGCCTGAGCTGAGTCCGGTCTCCACGAGCGCTCCACTCCTCGCACCCGAATCAGCCGCCCAGATCTCCAGCCCGCCTCTCCCTCCGGTGGCAGTTCCTCGCCGGGGTCGTGTCCTCCCTTCTTTCATCCCCTCATCAGGTACCACTCTCTCCTAGTCTCTTCCCTTCACTTACTCCCTCGTGGTCTGGGTTCCGTGTCCTTGCGCCGATTAGGTGGATTCCGAGTGCCGGGTCTCATGATTCGGGAGGCGCGGGTGCGATTTTAGCCAAGAGATCAGCCACCGACGGCGTGTCCTCTCTCCTTCAGGTTTAGGGTTCGACGCTCGACGATATTCGGATTTTGGGGTGCACCTATTTAGATATTTGTGGAGTTCAATGGTTGTATATGCATCCCTAGTCGGTGCAGATTCAAGAGTTTATTTTTTGCTTAATCTTAGAAAAACGGTGCTGGTGAAGTTGTCTGAGTTAAGAGATGAACTGGATTCTATAAGCTAAGTGACATACCAAGAGTGCCATATGCACCCTCTTATAGATTAATAGATACGTGCTTTCAGAGCGCAAAAGGTCTATTTATGTTGTTTTATATGTGCGCATCTGTTGGAAACCACTACCTACTTTAAGTGACTTGTGACTTCTAACAAATTTTTCATGTGTGTGGCTAGAACTTATGGATGGACAGGTAGAGAACTTTGTGGGGCATGACGGAGGTGGATTGCCTCAAGTTCCTTACGACGGAGAGCAGCCAAACCCGTATGATGATGTCGCGAAGCAGTACACTGAAGAGCTAGGTGACCAGTACAACGAGCAACCTGGTGCCCAATATGATGAAGGGTCTGGGAACCCGTATAACGAAGAGCAAGCAAACTTGTACAGCGAGGAAACCGGGAATCAGTACAATGAGGACCCAGCAAATTCTTACCAGGAAGAGCTGGAGAATGCATTCAGTGGGGACCCGGACATGGCCCAACAGGACAACTCGCAGGTCAATGTCGACGATAACAAATGGCCTGGATGGCCAGGTGAGAGTGTTTTCCGTATACTAGTTCCAGCTCAGAAGGTTGGAGCTATCATTGGCCGCAAAGGGGAGTTTATCAAGAAGATGTGTGGGGAGACTAAAGCACGCATCAAAATACTTGATGGCCCGCCTGGTGTACCAGAAAGAACAGTAAGTGCCTTTATGGATTTTGTATTTGATAAGTTAGTAGTCTCATTGGTTCCAACTAGCATATGTGCCACTCAGTGTGCAGGTCCACCCATGAAGTTCACTTTGTTTTATTTCATGACGCGTGTTTGGTACTAGCTGGTCTGCTAGGAACATCTTATGTAGATCTAGATACTCTACCTCCTACTCAGTCCACTCCACATATGAGCACTGGAGCTGGTCTATGCTGTTGCTCGTTTCAACATAAAACATCATTATATCAGGGGAAACGGTTAAGATGGACTGTTTGTCCAACAGCTGAACTTTAGTTGCTGAATCTTAAAGCAGCTTTGTTTCGGTTTTCCTAAAAATCTAGGAACATTTTGTTTTATTTTAGTTGAGGGTTTGCAATGGGTCCTGAAACTGGTAATATTTTCCTTAGCTAGTGTGGGTTTTGAACCTTGTATCAAATGCACATTATAAGTTATATAATATAATAACTCGACATCTTTGTGTAAGGAACATGTCAAGTTTTCTTTTATGGCTCCTAGTTGGGATCATCCTTTCTTCACAACTTCAACTTAATAAATGTGCCACAACTCAGTGTAAGAATTAAGAAGCATAGTTAATATCCTGACAACACTGAGAAAGTTAAACAATGAAGTTCTGCACACTAAAGAGTAGCTCTAAAACTGACTTAAAAAAAGTGACCGCCCACCAAAGGCCAAAATCGGTAAGCTTTGATAATATAACACATATTAATGTTTGCAGGTTGTGACTGCAGTCTAAGGCCCCAAACCAAACAATGTTTCGAAAATGGTTGATCGGACATGGTTCTGAAAGTCCAGTTTTGTGCTCCCGTGCTGCAAATATGAATAGGTCATTTGATTATTGGATGAAGATCTCTTTCAAGATGCTCCTTAAACTATCTGGTAATTTCATTACCTTTTTTATTTTTAACTAAAGGAATAACTAAAGGGAAGAGGTAAAAGGATAAAAATGTACCAAGTTGTCTACATGCAAATGAATATTTTAAAATTCATCTGCATGATGACATAGGTATTGAATTTGATTTTTGGATGAAGATCTCTTTCAAGCTGTTCCATAAACTATCTGTTAATTTCATGACCTTTTTTTATTTTTTTACTAAAGGAAATAACTAAAGGGAAGAGGTAAAAGGATAAAAAATGTACCAAGTTGTCTACATGCAAATGAATATACTACATGCACTATGTAATTTAAAAATTCATCCACATGATGACATAGGTATTGAATTTTTCTCACAAAGTATACAAATACATACATTTGGAGAAGTATAACTCTTTGTTATATTGTGCTTTGGAAGATCAAGTGTTTGCTTAAGAAAAAAAATAAATATCATGCTATTTACATGATCAGCAAGTGAGTAAAAGAGAAAAATGTACCTATTCTTTCATCATTGGACATTAGTGAATTCCAAACAAAAAAAGGTCGATGCATTTAATAAAATATGAAACAATAACTATTGGTGAAGGACATTGCGTTTGATAAATAAGGTTACTAAGTGAATAACAAAAGAAAAACAACTCTTCTGATCTGTCATACTTGAATGCTTCACTACTGTTGATTAAATGTGTAGGATCATAGGATGGAATGCTCTACTGAACTTGTTTCAAAAAAAAGAATGCTCTACTGAACTTTGGAAGTTCTCATTTGTGCTGTCATTTCAGCATCGGATGCATTTGTTATTGTGTGCTTGAGCAACAATTACTATTGTAGTATGAATAAAGTAAAGTTAAGCTTAAGTAGAATGTTCATATGACTATATTTTGGAATTACTATTTTATGCGGTTCAGGTGGAAAATGTATATGTCGTTATTAAACCATACTGTCGTAAAACCATAGTTTATTTCTTTTGTGAAGAGAGGCATCATTTGACTTTGCTAGTAGGGTGTATATAGAATGTCTTGATTACAAGTAACCCAAATAGGAAAGTTTTGGCAATTAGAAATTTTGAAGTTGACCTAATCAAACTTACTTATGGCACTGACCATTCATTATACTTGTTCCAGACGCACATATTCTTGTGAATGCTAGTGTTATCATACCTTATGCCGTTCATTGAGCTCATCTAGGTCTAACCATTAAGCAATACTAATGTTTTGCGCTGTCAGCTCCTTTTAACTATTAATTCATTTGGTGAATTTGTCACTTTCACCTTTGAAGGTAATGATTTCAGCAAAGGATGAACCAGAGGCACCTCTCTCTCCAGCTGTGGATGGCTTACTTAGAGTTCATAAAAGAATAACTGATAGTTCAGATGGTGAATCTGGTCAGCCTCAACGAAGTGCTGGTAATATAGGACCAACACGACTTCTAGTGCCATCTTCTCAAGCTGGCAGCCTTATTGGCAAGCAGGGAGCAACTATTAAATCAATACAAGATTCTTCTAAGTCCGTTGTCCGTATTGTTGGTAAGTTTCGTCATGTTTCTTCTATGCTATATATGCTGGATCTATCCCTCTTTGATATGTTGCATGAGTTGCATCCTTAGCTGTGTGTTGTGACCTGCAGCTTGGTTAATGACCATTAGGAAATTATGATACTAGTTCCCTTTGCTATCCACATAAATAAATGCGTCTTATTTGGTTCTTCAATGTGGAATCTAGTCTGTTTAACTGATTTCTATGGATCCATGCCAAGCACCAACCTGTTCGGCATTAAAGAAAAATACTCTTCTGAGCTGGACATTTAGATGTAAACTGTGGAATCTAGTCTGTTTAACTGATTTACCATGAAATTTGGAAACTAAATGATGTTATAGTTCTTTTTTAAATCAAGAACAATGAGAAAAAAGAGGTTGTTGGTGATGCTTTGACATGTGTTGTTATAAAGGACCTAAAAGTTCATTGATCTACTGGTTATGTTTTTAGAGAACAATGTTACACATACAGGCAATTTTTTTTTAAGATTTACTGATTTGTATTGCAGAAAATATAACTACACACATACTACAATATAATTAAACTTTTACCTTCTGCCTTTGTTCACTGTGCTGATTATCATAGCATTTATCTTTAGTCATGTTTTTTTCTACTCCATACCTGGGTGAAAATCTTCTCTCCGGCACCTGAATTTTTTGCTTTTCTTTTCTTTCCCTTTCTTCTTCCCAAATAGCATGCATGGAAGGAAATAAGCATGTATGGAACGGAATAAAACTAAGATTCGGGTGAAAATCTTCTCTTCCACATCACAATTTTAGTTAATGTCAACTTATGGACACTCAACTTGTGCTAGAGTTATGCTGATTATTTTGGTGTAATTTCTAGGTAAATTGGTTTCACTATAAATTCGGGTGAAAATCTTCTCTCCCATACCCCATTTTAGTTGCTGTCAACTTGTGCTAGATTAACACTCGTACTAGAGTTACAGTGATTATTTTAGTGTAATTTCTAGGTAGAATTGGTGTAACTAAAAATTCGGGTGTGAGGAATATATATATATTTCACCCTATTCTTACAACACCTTTAATCTGGGTGTGGAACTCTTGCTCATAAAATGTGGGTGTAGGAAGCAAAATTTTCACCTGGGCATGATATAGCAAAACTGTTAATCATTTGTTTGTATATTTGTACTGGTATGTTGTTATCCTCCAAGGGTGCAAACTTCTAATTCGAGGTTTTATACTTTTGTTCAGAGAATGTGCCTCTTGTTGCACTAAATGATGATAGAGTTGTGGAGATACAAGGCGAGCCTCTTCGTGTCCAAAAAGCAGTGGAATTAATAGCGAGTCACTTAAGAAAATTTCTTGTTGACCGCAGTGTTCTTCCATTGTTTGAAACACATGTAAGTTTTTTGTTTATTTTGGCATGTTGTATTTGTGTCAGTAATAGTGTTTTGCATGCAGTGTGTGACAATGTAAATTTTAATCTCTGCAGATGAAAATGCATGGTATGCCGAGGGAGCAACCAGTGCCACCTCCCCAGCATTGGGGCCCTCCTCAAACCTGGGGCCCTCCTCCAGGTGGTCCTGGTTTTGGAGGAAATCCACAGTTCATGCCTCCAAGGCCGCAAGACAGTTATTATCCTCCTCCTGATGCCCCCCCTATGGAAAAGCAGCCGCACTATGGCATTTCTGCATATGGTCGGGAGGCCCCACCAAGTGGTGCTTCTGCTACAGGGAATCAACCACCCTCTCACGCAGGTTCTCAGGTAAGTTCTATTGCACTTATGGTTTGTGCTTTCATTTGGTTGGCATGCCAATCAGGTACTGACTTTTATGTATTTCTGAAAGGTGACTCATAACATGCACATTCCCCTTGCCTATGCTGATGCTGTGATTGGGGCAGCTGGTGCTAGTATCAGTTATATCCGTAGACACAGTGGCGCAACAGTAACTATTCAAGAAAGCAGAGGTGCACCTGGAGAGATGACTGTGGAGATAATTGGGACTGCAGCCCAAGTTCAAACTGCTCAGCAACTGATCCAGGTACCTTTTTCTGCCGTTCGTTGCACGTGTCAAATTTTGTCAGCTAATTCAAACTCTGCTCTTTAGTTCTAGAATTTGCTCAGGTGATGCTATATTGCACCATCTCTTTTAACGAAAACATATTTCACCTTTCGATGGCCCCCTTGCTGTTAGCTAATGTGACCTTTTACTTTGCAGAATTTCATGGCAGAGGCTGCTCCCCCAGGCCCGGCGCCAGCTTCTAACCCTCCCGCTCCACCAGTTGATCCGAGCTACGGCTCTTACCCACCACCATATGGAGCAGCTCCTTCTTATGGTTCTTCGATGGCTGCCGGGCCGCCTCCGCAGTACAATGGTGGGAGCTACGGTGGCCCGACCTACCCTCCCAGCTATGGTTATTAGTATTCAAGTAGCAGCAAACCAAGGATTTGTCCTCTTTTATTGAAGCATTGTCCTCGCGGTGTCCTTTTCCTGGTGGATGGTAAGGATTTAGCTGCCGAATAATGACTCGGGGGCTGGACGCCCTCCTGCTACTTTGTATGGTAAAGATTATTATGTTATTAGTAACATCCATGAATGTGTTGCTTGCTGCTCGGTCATTGTTCTGTGCCTGTGGTATGTGAGCGGCTGAGCGCCGACCGTGCGTCCTTAAACTCCGAGCTTTGCTACTGTCTGCATGTTTGTCTTTGGAGCAGCACATTAGGCAACTTGTGGACAAACTTGAAAAATAAAGGTGACCCAATGTTCTACGGTTTTGAAACAGATAGAAACAACATTATGAAGAATAGTATTCTATTCTAGTCGGATCATAAGATGTATAGGGTGTCTGTGGAAGACATGTTTGCACTGAAAAATCAAACATGTGTCTATCTGCCACTGTTGAAGCATTTTGCGACCAACGGATGGCTACATGCCTATTGAACAGTTGCGGTCTAAACATTCGAAAAGGTGTCGTGACTAGCCAAAAGATTCAACAGTGAAGGTTGATAGCGCATCAGAGGGCCAAGTAGTCTCTTGCAAACAATAATAATAATAATAACAATAAGAATAACAATAATAATAACAACAATAACAATAACAACAATAATTATTAGGAAGTATATATGTGTATTAGGAAGCTTGTTCATTCCTTCCATGTACACTGATTGTATTTCATATATATCAAGCCTGATTAGCTATATAATAGAGGTCACCCCCCTCATTAGGGGTGAGATGTTTTTCCATATCCTTTCTATATGGTATCAACTAATTAGATCTTGAGCCTTCTCCTTTCTCCCTGCGCCCTCTTCCCCTTCCTCCCTGCGCCTTCCCCTCCTCTTCTGGCCTGCTGTGCCATGGCCACCGCCCCCACAGCCCCTGTTGTTGGCCATGTGCCGCCTCCTGCTGCTAATGGTGGCACCTCTGTGCCGCCCACTGCCACCAGCAGTTTCTCTGGTGTTCCTGCCGGCGCCACGCCCGACAGCGATGGCTTCATCTCCCCTACCGTCCAACCATATGCCACTGTCAACGTCAAGTCCCATATTCCCGTGACGCTGACGATGAAGTCCACTGCCTACTCCAGATGGGCGTCCTACTTCAAGTCTTTGTGCGGCAAGTTCGGCCTCCGGTCGCACATCGATGGCACGATGCCACCTCGCCCCCAGGATCCTGCTTGGGATCAGGCGGACTGCTGCATCCGCTCCTGGTTCTTTGGCTCCGTCGACGACTCCGTCCTCGACCTCACCATGACCGACGACAACCAGACCGCCCGGGACCTCTGGCTCACCATTGAGGGCCTCTTCCGCGCCAACAGGCAGTCCCGGGCGATCTTCCTCAGCCATGATTTCCACTCCATGACGCAGGGTGACTCCACCATCGCCGAGTATTGCAGCCGTATGAAGACCCTCGCCGACGGCCTCCGCGACGTCAGTCATCCCGTTCAGGACTCGTAGCTTGTCCTGAACCTCCTCCGCGGCCTCAACCCCCGCTTCACCACCACAGTCGACGACATCGCCAACTCCGCCACCGGCTTCCCATCATTCAACCAGGCGCGGGACATGCTGGCTCTGAAGGAACTTCGCCTCGCTAACGAGGAGAAGGTCTCCAACTCCACCGCCCTACTTGCCGGCCATGCTTCGTCCTCCTCCGGCTGTCCAGGCGGGTGTCGCCCACTTGCTGGACCTGTTCTGCCCGGCGGCAGCAACAACAATGGCGACAGCCGCAGCGGCAGCGGCGGCCGCACCAGCGGCGGCGGTGGCAGCAAGAAGCGGTGGCAGCACAAGAAGGGCAGCGGCGGCGGCTTCCAGGTCCCATCCGGCAATCCTCGCCCCATCGGCCCGTGGTTCTGTTTTAGTCCTGGCGCCAACTCCTACAACGCTCTAGGTTTCTAGCAGGCCGGCAGTCAGGGCAGCGGGGGCTGGCGCGCTGGCGCCCCTAGTCTTTTGGGCCAACCCCCGCAGGCCCAAGCCGCCTACGTCCCCGCCCAGGCGCCCCCTCAGGCGCCCACCTGGGATCAAGCGAGACTCGTCGCTGCCTTGAACCAGATGGCGCTGCACAATGGTGGCTGGGTCGTTGACTCAGGAGCCTCCGGTCACATGTCATCTACAGATGGTATTCTTCTTTCCCGCCTCCCTCCATCTCACTCCTCCATTACTGTAGGTAATGGACACACCCTTCTAGTCACGTGCCATGGCAACTCTACCCTCAGCACCCCACCTTCAGTTTTTAGCTTAACAACATCCTTGTTGTCCCTTCATTAATTCATAATCTGATTTCCGTTCGTCAGTTTACTAAAGATAATAACTGCACCATAGAGTTTGACGCTTTTGGTTTCTCTGTCAAGGATTTTCCAACCAGACATGAGATTCTTCGCTGCAATAGCACCGATGATCTTTACACCATTCCTCTAGCCGCCAGCTCTACAGCACCCCACGCCGGTCTCGCCATCTCATCCAGTTTGTGGCATCTCCGTCTCGGTCATCCTAGTCCTGCTGCCATCACTACACTTAGACAACGAGCATCCATTTCTTGTAATAAAGACAGTCACACTCTATGTCATTCATGTCAATTTGGGAAACATGTGCGGTTACCTTTCTCTAATTCCAGCTCTCGCGGTTCCACTCCTTTTGAGTTAGTCCATTGTGATGTCTGGACTTCTCCAGTACCTAGTATTTCTGGTTACCGCTACTACCTTGTCATTTTGGATGATTTCTCCCATTTCTGCTGGACGACTCCTCTTGTTCACAAATCTGAAGTCACCAAACACATCACAGCCTTCTGTGCATATGCCACTACACAATTTAGTCTTCCCGTTCGCAGCATCCAAGCTGACAATGGAACCGAGTTTGTCAATAAGACTCTCACATCTTTTTTGACTTCTCGAGGCATCCACCTGCGCCTCTTCTGTCCCTACACCTCTCCTCAAAATGGGAAAGTTGAGCATGTCCTCCGCACCCTTAATAATGTCACTCGCACCCTGCTGATTCATGCCTCCATGGCCGCCCCATACTGGGCCGAGGCACTCGCCACTGCCACCTATCTTCTAAACAGGCGCCCTTGTTCTGCTATTCAGAATAACATTCCCTACCAACTACTCTATTCCTAGCCCCCTGAATACTCTCACTTGCGTGTATTCGGTTGTCTGTGCTATCCTAATCTCTCTGCCACAGCATGCCACAAGCTTGCTCCTCGATCTGCAGCCTGTGTCTTCCTCGGTTACCCTTCATCCCACAAAGGGTACCGCTGCCTTGACCTATCCACCCGTCGCGTCATCATCTCTCACCATGTTGTCTTTGACGAGTCTGTTTTTCCTTTCTCCTCCCACCCTACTCACCCGTCATAGCTTGACTTCCTATTGTTGAGCCTCTCTACTGCTCCTACTCTTGCCTCGGTCACTCCATCCTCGGACGTTGCGCAGCCACGACCATCACCCGCTGTTTTGCAGGAACTTCCCGACGACAACCCTGCAATTCTGGTATGCGGTCTAGTAGTGTACCGTGCTCCGTCTACGGGTAGGACGCCACCCTCTTCCTCCACTACAGGACCAACTCGCTTGGACGTCATCCCTGCTCTTGCAGTTGGGGGTTCCACCGGCCGCCCGACGCCTACCAGACCGCTGGTGCCTCCCCTGCCTCATCACTACACCAGTCGGCCACCGGTGGCTGCGGCATCTGCTTCGGCGCCTCCTGCAGCGCCGCCCATGGTCTTGGCACCACCGCTGCCACCTGCGCCTGCGGCACCTTAGGCGCCCGTAGTCCTAGCATCGTCGCCACCTCCTGCTCCTACATGGCCTGTCACTCGGACTGTGACTGGGGCCATTCCGCGGGTGTCCTACCAGGGCTTGACGGCTTCGCCATCATCGCCCTCTCCGCTTCCGGCAAACTATCGCAGTGCTCTGGCTGACACCAACTGGCGTGCTGCAATGGTCGACGAGTTCTAGGCTCTGATGGACAACAACACTTGGCGCCTCATCCCATGGCCGCCCGGTGCCAATGTCGTGTCGGGCAAGTGGATCTTCTGGCATAAATACCATGCTGATGGGTCACTCGCCCGGCACAAGGCACACTGGGTGGTTCGAGGATTCTCCTAGCGCCATGGCATCGACTACGATGAAACCTTCAGTCCGGTTGTCAAACCAGCGACAATACGGACCGTTCTCAGCATCGCCGCTTCTCGCGCCTATCCGATCCACCAGCTGGACGTGAAGAACACATTTCTCCATGGCCATCTCGCTGAGACTATCTACTGCCAGCATCCTCCCGGCTTTGTTGACCCCGCCGCTCCAGATCACGTCTGTCTCCTCCAGAAGTCCTTGTATGGACTAAAGCAGGCACCAAGGGCGTGGTACCAACGGTTCGCCTCCTACATTCGATAGCTCGGCTTCGTCGCCTCCGTCTTCGACATGTCCCTCTTTGTCTACAAAGAGGGGCCGAGCATCGCCTATCTGCTGCTATATGTCGATGACATCGTCCTCACCGCATCATCCATGACTCTTCTCCAGCACATCATGGGCCGCCTGCACTCCGAGTTTGCCATGACAGATCTTGGAGCCCTGCATCACTTCCTCGGCATCTTAGTGACGCGTTCTTCCCAGGGCCTGTTCCTGTCTCAGTGATAGTATGCCTTGGATCTTCTTCAGCGTGCTGGCATGGCTGAGTGTCACTCTACAGCGACTCCCGTTGACACTCATGCCAAACTCTCGGCACAGGATGGCGCCAAGCTCCAAGACGGCTCTGAGTACCGAAGCCTTGCTGGGGCCCTTCAGTACCTCACCCTGACTAGACCAGATTTGGCATATGTGGTTCAGCAGGTGTGCCTCTTCATGCATGATCCGCACGAGCCCCATATGGCCCTAATCAAGCGCATCCTACGCTATGTGAAGGGCACACTCTCCTCTAGACTTCACATCGACACAAGCTCTGTTC